GATCACCACCACGGAAATACCAGGACGTGACCTGGCGAAGCATGCCACCCACCACCTGGAGGTGACGCTTGGCATCAGGATGCTTGCATATCAGCTGGTGTGAGCTGGATTCCTCTCAGAGTGGAACAACAGCCCCAGCTTGCCTGGAACTCTGCTGGCTTTCAGCCTCTGGTTCCTGCATCCTGGGAAAAATTCTGGAAAAACATTTTTGGAAAAACATTTTGGTTGGTAAATCATGCTGACTACACACAGAGCTCGCCCTGAGTCTTTTCAAGCACATTGGTGATTCCTTTGCCAAAATAAGTCCCACTCCCACTGTGGCCTGGCTAGCACCATGCTGGGCCCATCAATGTGGTCCATGCGTGTCATCGATGCTGATGTCCTGCCCTGCCTCCCCGGTGCACACACCCCTTAGCTGCTGCCCGTGCCTCAAGCAGGAAACTGACATGGAGCTTCCTGGAGAACTGACCTGAGCTGCATCAAGCTAACCAGCTGGAGTCGGGGGCCTGCAGGGTCCCAGGCCTCGGTTGAATCCAGTGGTTCTCAGCCAGGGAACAAAGGGCACGTCTAGAGACAATTTCGGTTGTCGTGACTCGGGGCATGGTACTGAACTCAGGTGGGCAGAGGTCAGGGATTCTGCTGAGTCTCCTTCGGTGCCCAGGTTATCCCCCAAGTGTCACTAGTTCCAAGGTGGAGAAACCTCGGTGCAATATGGCATCAACTTCTCTGTCGCCTGATTGATTGACAGACACCTTCCCTCTTGCTCCCCTCCCACAAATCTCGGTCCTCCCTCCTCAGACTACGCAAGTGCGGTTTGGACCCAGAAGACATATGTGAGAAGAGACTTGGGCTGCTCCTGAGGGATTAAACCCCCTGCCTCCTGTCAGGTTCATAGGAGCAGCGGCTGACAGGAAGAGTCTCACAGAGTGATTGATTAAGGAAATGCACCAGGAGAAACCAGTTGAGGATGAGGGAAGAAGATGCCCAGCCAGGGTGAGATCTCAGCAAAGCCT